GCTGGGTGTAGACATGGTGTAAGCTCAGAGCCTGAGAGCAGGGCTGGCAGTAATATCTTGTGAGCTGATGTAGGAACATCCCCCCAGCAGGAAGGCTGCAGCTCCTGAATGCCAGCAAAGAGAATAACATCTGCAACATCTGGAGGTTTGGGTCGGGACTAAGGGGATGGAGGAGGTTTCTGGGGACCCAATGTGGGGGCCTGTTGAAAGGTCAGGTGAGCCCTGAGAAGGGGCTATGTTCACAGGAGCCGGGTGAGGAGCCAGGCAAGAGGGGCTGAGAGCTGTGGGCGTGTTGAGGAGCGAGGTGAGGCGGATGCGTGAGCGACCTAGGGAAGGGCCCGGGTGAAACCAGTGTGTGTAGCAGAGCATGGGGGCCTATTGCGGGGCCTGGATGAGCCCAGAGAAGGAAAGGGGGCTTCAGTAAGGAAGATCTATTGGGCGCTCTGGGAGAAAGAGGGAGTGATGTGTGGAGGGGCCCGAGAGGGCGGACCTATGGAGAAGAGAGGGCTGACTGCTTGAGGACTGACCCTGGGAATCTCAACTGGTCCAAGCTGGGGCCAGGGCCTGGAAAGGGCCAAAGGATGAAATAGCCCACTGCAAGAGATGGCCAGAACTGGGAGCCTGGAGTCTCGACTGTCCCGGAGGTGAGGCCAAAGGTCCCTGTTGGTGGGCCACAGCCGAGAGGGAGAGGTCAAGCAGCGGGTATCCCAGGCGGATGATGACTGGTACTAGGTTGTCTGAGGAGGAAGGATCAAGGAGAGAGGTCCAAGAGTGAGAGGGGGCCAGAGATGGAGGATTCGGACTGGAGATGGGGCCAGAGGGCCCTCTGGTTAGTAGCCCAGGACGGGTGTAGGACATTTAGGGAGAGCCCAGAGAGGGACGAGCAAGACCTGATAGACCTGAAGACTGGTCCTGGGTAAGACCCAAAACTGCACCCTGGTGGGGCTGGTTAGCGTGGTGGGGCTGCCTGTGGCAGGGCAGCAGCCTCCATGAAATGCCATGCATGGGCCACTCCAGGGAAAAGTGAGGATGGGGTGCCGGAAAGCTTCAGCTCCCACTACTTTGTGAGTGACCCTGTGGAGGGGAAAGGCTAGGGCAGCGCACCCCAACAGAAAAGCACTTGCCAGGAAGATTGGGACCATGTGGGTCCACAGGCCCAGTGAGGGGCCAAGGAAGGCTGGGACAATGAAGGGAAGACTGGGACCGTATGGGTCCAGAGGCCCAGAAAGAGGGATTTGAGCCACATAGTGAAGCCCAGCGTGTATAATGGGATCAGAGGGGTTCAGTGGTCCAGCAAGGGACTGGGAAAGGAGTGCAGGACCAGAAGGGTCCAAGGGTCTGGATAGTATTTGGAAAAGTGGAGAACAAGGTGGGTTGAGGATGAGGGACCAGAAGGGCTGGCAGCCTGGAGAGGGACCAAGAGAGAGACTTAGGGGCCTGGTAGCCCAAGGAATGGTTGCATGAGACCGAGGGGTCTGAGGGCCCAGAGTGGGGCTGAGAAGCCACGGGGTCAGAAGGCCCAGGTAGGGGCTGTTTTGGCAATAGGTTGAACTTTGATAAGGATGCCACCTGTGAGGTATGGGACATGGTGTAGGAGTGGTAGAGCCACGTGATTGACCCATAAGGCCACAGCCACAAGTTGGGTGGTCATTATATTAAGATCAAGGCAGTCATCTATCTGTCTATCTCTCTATATCAAGACTGCCCTTAGAGCGGAGTAATTAAAAAAAAAAAATTGGGTACCCTGTGACATACAGGTGTGAGTATCTGTGAAGGACTTCTATTTACAGGCTTTGCTTTGCAAATTACCATACACGGAGAGGTGAAATTACTTTCAAACAAAATCTTTGCATGTGTTCTTTTTATCCTCTTTTTATGCTCCATTTGCGACATACCAACTCTTCCATGTTTAGGATGTATTTAAATTATGCGTGGGAGGGAAAAGACCATGGGGACTGCTGAATAATTTGATCAGAGGTTTTTTGGGCTGTTGCTCCTATGGGCTGTTTGCATAACAAATTTGACAGCATGCGTTTGGAGTGGAGCTGATCCCTGACATTGCATAATTATTGCCATGGTACAGACTGCCTTCTAGCTACCTCTAGCTCTTAACGTAACGGGCCGCTGTTCTTCTAGTGACTTTCCCTAAACTATTTTAAAGGGTTTAAATTAATTAGAAAAGCAAAGCCTTAACTGGTTCTTGAGGTTGGCTTGTTTTGTTGTTTTGTGTCTGTTTGTAGATAATGGCACTACACCCACGGAGAGTTCGTTTGAAACCCTGGCTGGTAGCCCAGGTAGACAGTGGTATGTACCCAGGCCTTGTCTGGCTAAATCGGGAAGCAAAGCGATTTCAGATCCCTTGGAAACATGCAACACGACACAGTCCTCAGCACGAAGAGGAGAACACCATCTTTAAGGTAGGGCAGGAAGACATAGTATTAAAATCCTTTGGTGCCTCATGCTTCTGCTGCTTGCTGTTTATCAGTCGAGCCAGAAGCTTGCAGTACAGCACACCAGGAGCCTTTGTGGTTAACTTAAACAAACTGAGCACACCTCTCTCCTACTTATAATGCTGCCTATGCCACACCATACCTTCAGCCTTGAAGCTGCTGCCTAAAGAGCTGCGTCCTTAGAGTGATTGCTGCCTTATCGATCTAGTAAGCGTTTGTAGCTACACTGTACTGTTTAAATGCACCCAATTCCTTTTGGAGATCACGTTGTGTGCATTTGGGTGCAAAACTTGGCATCTAGCTACTGCAATTTTTTTTTTTTTTTTTAATGATTCTTTTCCCTTTAAATGATTAAAAAGCCTCCCCTCATGTCTAATTAATTAAAATAATTGCTAAAGAGTTCCTCGTTTTTTGCTATATTAACTAGTTCTTTATTACTGGTTTCATTGAAGAGGTGGTTGACGGATTCCAAGTGTTTGACACCAAACTGCCATTTAGGTTACTGTCTGTTTTGTGCCGAATTTGATCTGGAACTGAATATTGAGCAAATTGGGAATGGGCAATTAACAAGTGCTCCTGCCCCTGCCAGCATCTGCCATGGTTGCCCTAACTGTCTCCTAATAATTCCTAGACAACTCTTACAAAAAATGTCACTTGTTACACTGGTAGAGTTTGAATTGAGTTTGCTGGGTGTTTTTTTTTTTTTTTTGTATTTTTTAAACTAGTTCCTTGACTGCTGGTTCTCTGACCCCCTGTTTAAATCATTTCCTTCTAATACAACAAACTAAGACCCAAATTGTTAAAATGAGCAGTGATCTTTTTGGGTACCTAGGAAGCTCTGAGCGCTAGCCATGTGCAAACTAAGCTTTCTTAATGGGCCTCAAATTGTGAATGCACATAGACACTAGTAGCTCTTAAAATGTTGGGCTTATCTCCCCCCATCCCCCACCCCCCACCCCCGCTTTGTGTTAGAAAAAAGATAACCCGAGGGACGGAGTGGGGACAAAAAGTGCTTTGATTGTTACTGCCATAAAGTGTTGTAGTTGAGACTTTCCCTGAAAGAGACTACACACTTTACAGCAGATTTGTTTAGAAACTTGACTCTCGATCAAAACTGGAACAACAGCAGGATTTAACCGAGCCTGGTATACTTTGCCCCCAGGCATGGGCCGTGGAAACGGGAAAGTATCAGGAAGGAGTCGATGAACCAGACCCTGCAAAATGGAAGGCCCAGCTCCGGTGTGCTCTTAACAAAAGCCGGGAATTCAACTTGATGTACGATGGGACCAAAGAGGTGCCCATGAACCCTATTAAGATTTACGAAGTGTGCGATATCCCACAGTCCCAGGGATCAATCATTAATCCAGGTGAGGGCTTGGTGACACAGTGCTGGTTACTAAGCAAGCATCAGCCCGGTGCACGTGCCTGTTTTCTCTGCATATTAACTCTTAAGCTACCTCTGCAAACAGTTTCAAACTTTTGAGGTCAAGTGGATGATAAATAAGCCAATTAAACAATTTAAAGCCAAATTTGGCCGTGGCATTATGGGTAGTAATGGAGTTAGCTCATTATTTCAAACGATATTTGTGAAATGCTGCACTGTCCTTGGCAAGGCTTTTCTGTCTGCCTCTTGCCTCTCTGAAATCAAGCTGTGCATCAGACATCCTTCCTGCTTATAAATTGCAACCTACACCCCTGTAAATTAATATTTGATATTGTAGAAAGCTAGATTTTTTTTCAGTGAAACTGTAGTACAGTCACATCGGAGGACGCGTGCTCTTAGTCCTGCAGGTTGTTCGCAACTGTTGCCATCCACTATTTTAGTAGCATTCTGTGCTACTACTAATAAAAAAATTAATATAATGGTAAATTCTGGCCAAACAGATGCACATTACTCTAATAGCTCAGTGAGGGCATTGTGCTATCAGGGCAAATGCTGTGAACAGAGCCTTTGGAGCAACAAAAAAATTCACAGTCCAGAAACAATCAGGAATACTCATGTGTCCTGGTGGTTGGAAGGTGGCTTCACTGTTTGATGATGAACCTGAAAACATTTTGGATAAACGGAGCACAGTGGATTAGGAAAACAATGTGTTTCAAATGAGGAAACTTGACACTTTAATGGAGTTACTCTAGGAATGACTTTTGCCCGGTACCTTGAAATTTGAACTTGAACAAAATTCCTTATGAGAGGATGAGATCTCCTGCATCTGCTGTGTCTGAGCAGCAGGAAAAGAGAGAACTGATGTCTTGTATTTTCTTTTTCAGTGCTCAAATAGTTCAGTATTGTTTTCAACGCCTGCTTTTCTCTAGGTTCCACTGGCTCGGCTCCCTGGGATGAGAAAGATAATGACCTTGATGATGAGGAAGAAGAAGAATTAAACCCATCTCAGCATGTCCCCATACAGGACACTTTTCCGTTTCTTAATATTAATGGTTAGTACAATAGGGTGTAATCTATCCATGGAGGGTATTGTCTTTAAAAAACAGCATGTGTATGTAATCAATGTGTTGTGTGTGGGTTTTATCATGGTCTTGATGAACTACAATTCCTCAATTCTTTGCAGGAGACCTTATCCTTAACTCCTGGCTTCTTTCAGAAATCTCTTAAAGCAGCAATGCGCTTGCCACATGGACAGATCATTTTGTCTACTATAGCTATAGTAAATTAGATTCCCCTAAATATGCCTTATTAAAAGGATAACTGCCCCGTGTGAAAGTAAGTCAAGAAATCCCCTGTCAGACTTAAATATAATAATGAAGCCATCTTTTATTCAGACTGCTATATTTTCTTCACCTAGGTTATGGCTTAACAAGTTCAAACAGTAGTGTTGTCTCAGCACTTAAATGTTCTCTTGTACCAGTTTGCTAAGGGTCAGACTGAGGTTTAAAGCTTTCTGTGCAAGCTGGTTGGATGATATGCAGAGGAGCTCTACCTTTCCGGTATGCTAAGCCATGATCTGAGCTGCTTTTTCATTTGTTTTTCAAAGGGTGCTATCTTTTATTGAAATTAAGGCTTTTAAAGTGTTAGCCATGTTTCAAATCAGTACATTTTACTAGCTCTTCCAATAGTGCTTTCAGAATGGATACTGCAGGCTACCATTGAATGGGACTATTTAAATTTGTGTGCATCGAGTGTATTTAGTCCAGGTCTCTACAGAGCGGTGCACTACAGCCAGCCTGTTGACTCACCTTTTGGTGATATCAAGTGAAGCCTGAATGGGTCTGAATAATAAACTCCTTTTTTGTTCTTTGATGATATTCAGTGCAGGTCAATACCAACAATTCTGGCATTGTTTGGAGGAAGGGACGCTGTTCATATTTTACATGGTCTGTGGATGTATGATTTGACACCAAATTTGGCCTTCCTAGGAGCTGCTGTATTTAACAGAGCAACTGTAGAACAAAGAAATGAGAACATGCTGCCTGTATTTTTCCATGCTGCATGTATTTGGCAGCATGGAAAACGAACAGCAAATCCTTTCTAGCTAGTTGCATACCAAAGCTTACAGATTCAGCTGTCCCACTGGTAATAAGCATGTGCTAACTACTGAGTTAATTAAAAAAAGGTTTGAGTTTTAAAAATACGCTGCTCAATTGGCCTGGTTCTTCTCTGTAGATTCCCCGATGGCTCCAGCCAGCGTAGAAAATTGCAGCACTGAAGCAGCGTGGCCAAAGAGTGAACCGCTAGATATGGAGATGCCCCCAAGCACTCTGCAGCATGACTTCTTCAGCTCTCCTGAGCTCTGGATTAGCTCTCTCCCAAGTATGTATGTGTATGGATTTATGGGGCATCTGTCACTGAAACTGGAAAAGAAAGGGCTTGTTTGTTGTTTTCTACCACATTTGATGTCCTACATGTCAACATACAGGACCGTGTGTGTTGAGAATGTACTTCTCTAATTGCAGTCCCTTGCAGGGGTCTTTAAACAACAAGAAAGCCATTCTAACCATTTTCTCTCTCAGTGACAGATCTAGAAATCAAGTTTGAATATCGAGGAAAAGAGACTGGGCCAACCGCAACTGTCAGCAACCCCCAGGGATGCAGGCTGTTCTACGGAGAATTGGGTCCTATGCCAGACCAGGAAGAACTGTTTGGACCTATTAGTTTGGAGCAAGTAAAGTTTCCAGGAACAGAACAGATCACCAATGAAAAGCAAAAGATTTTCACAGGTCGGCTACTAGATGTCATGGACAGGGGACTGATTCTGGAGGTCAGTGGCCATGCCATCTATGCCATCCGGCTATGCCAGTGCAAGGTGTACTGGTCTGGGCCATGTGCCCCTTCATCTACCACACCAAACCTGATTGAGAGGCAAAAGAAAGTCAAACTCTTCTGTCTGGAAACATTTCTAAGTGGTAGGTAACTTTTTTTAATGCTCAGCAGCAACCTTAATTACTGGTTCTACCCCTTTGCCAGCATTTAACTGGAGAATTCAGGCTG